TATTTTATTAATTATACATTTCTTTTAAATATACAATTAATTATAATGTTTAAAAATATTAATTTTATAAATTAATTTTAATATATTAAATAATAAATATTAATTATTTTAACAATTAAATTAAGTAAAATTGGATGAGGGGCTATATATGCACCACTGAACTTCGAGGTATGGGAGAGAGAACTAGACAAGATAGTTAAAGGGGTTCTGTCGGTTCATTACAGAACGCTCGCAGAAATTAAGGAAAAGCCTCAAAACTTCTTCACGGAAAACCAGGACGCTTACGAAATTTGTTTTTGTCTTTAGATAAGCCCACGTGCTTATTAATTCATCACGTGCGCCCCTTGTTTGCATGATGCCCACGTATAATTCCTTCCGTCATCCCCTCAATAAAAAAATACTACCATCAACATCATGTGGTCTACATCTATTCACGTGTCATCAACTTTAGAGTCCTTTCTTATTTATTTATTTATTTATTTTTTACTAAAAATTTTGGTAACAATTTTGAAAATGTGAAAAAAGGGCAACCATTTTAATTTGAAAAGAAAAGGGGTATTGTTTATAGTTCATTAATTAAATATGGGTAATTACATTTTTCCTTTGAAGTTTGAATTTCATTCTCTAATTGGACGACAATGTAATTCATAGAATGTGGAAAACACTATCATTTTTATTTTTGTTTTTTTTTTTTGAAAAGCAAAAGAAATATCATAATATTAACTGAGTACAAGGGGTCATTTTTATTTTTGTTAATTCTATGGATAAAAGGTATTTATGTTTTCCCATATCCTTAATTCTATTGGAAAAAAAGAACGGCTTGTTTTTTACGAAATTGATCAGTGTCGTTTAATGGATCATGAATCATTTAAATACTCATAATGTTATTTCACTAAACATAGTATTATATACTAAGCTATTTGAGATGTTTTACAAGTAAGTCTATGAAAAACATTGATCTACTTGGCAAAATCATTGTATGATTCATTGCTTAAAAGCTTCGTCGAAATCGTATGAAGAAT